AACCATTGTGGAGGTCAGTCTGGAGATTTTTCAAAAACCTGGGATTGGAAGTCCCATTTGATCCAGCTATTCCACTTCTAGGCATATTCCCAGAAACCTGAAAACATCATACCACAGTGTTATATGTGCACCCATGTTTATAGCAGCACAGTTTGTAATAGCCAGATCTTGGAAACAACCTAAGTGTCCATCAGGAATGTATAAAAAAGTTGTGGTATTTTTATACAATGGAGTACTACTCAGCTATAAAGAATCATCACATTGAGATATTTATAAATAAATGGGTGCAGCTTGAGATCGTACTCATAAGCGAAATAAATCAAACTCACATGTATAAATACTGGTTTCCCTAGTGTAAGAAATCATAAGAATACATAAAAGTATGTGGTAATCATGATTCCCCATTATATTGTTTTGAAGCCTTATAATGTTTTCATTCATTGGAATGGTTTTCATTAATTGGAATGGCTTTATTCTGGGGTGTTTGATTTTATTGTCTATATTGTCTATTTTGAAGAAAACAAGACATTATAATATCTAGTGCTGATTTAATATCATCTTGTTTTGAAGTACCATCAAGCTGTTGTTCTTCTGTCTCCATTGGTTTTATCATGTTGTATCTTATTGGATTTTATTATATGTGATAGTATAAACAATTTTTATAGACAAGGAGATAATATAGAAACCATTGTTCATTTTCTGTTAGTTGGTTCTAAATACCCTGTAATACTTTTACCCTTTTGAATGCTTTTACACTGTCTTGATATGTTTGATGCTATAATACATGAAGTTATACTCAAATATTTCAAGGAAAGAGATACTATGGTAACTACTGTTACATTGGGTTATCCTGTGGTGAAACACTATGTTGCTTAAATTGTTCTGTTCTGACCTGTGTTGCTATTTCCTCTTTCATCTTAATCACTCCTTTTTTATATATTTTTAATAAAATAAAACCTCATTGGATAGATTAAATAGCAGGTTGTCTAAAGCAAAACAGCAATAATGCATTGGAAATTAGATGAGAGGAGATTATCCATAATACAGCATAAATGAGTATAAAGATGAAAATTTAAAAGACATGAAAGGAAGAAACAGCACAGAAAAATGACAATGAGATTATTTTCATTGTGCTAATAAGAAATGAGCCTGCCACACTTATAATTCTATATCTACCTATATTCTCACTCAAGAAAAAGATGAAATGAGATTCCTCCAGTCAGAATTCATCTCTACAGATCCTTACTGAAGGAAAATAAAAACGTTGTTTCTCAGTAAAAACAAATAGACAAACAAGACTCATAAGAAAACAATGATATGCAAAAGCAATGACAGGTCAAAAGAAAAAAAATCAACTTAGCCAGGGCTGACGCTCAGTGATACAGCATTTACCTAGCATATATGAGGCCCTGGGTTCCATCTCCAGCCCTAGAATAGTAACAAGATTGAGTTTTTTCTTTTGACTTGTCATTTGGTTTTCTGATGATGATGATGATGATGTGACAGCTAATATGAGTTATCTCAAGCAATAAGACATTAAAAATCCTCAAAAGTATAAAGTGGAAGATTGGAGAAGCATGAACAAATTTGAGACATTGACAGTCTTTGATCTTCTCAGAACAATAATTGCTCTTAGATTTCTTAAGTCAAATAGGCTTAGAGTGCAAATTTAAGAGCAGAAAATAAAACACATAACCAAGCAAGTAGGTGGGAAAGAAAAATTGTAAATATTCAGCATTGAATAGAAAACAAGGAGATATTTCAAACAAAGCACAATATACAGATAAAATAAATGTGACAGAAGAAATACATCTAAACAAATTAACAATAAATGTAAATGGATCAAACTCTCCAGTTAAAGATCTTATTTTGATTGGATTTTATTAATTCAACTGTATGTATATCTACTAAATCTACATATGTAGACATTAATAAAATCCAAACAGTATTTGATAAAAAAAAAACTTTTAATAGTATTGTCAAATTTTGCATAATTTAAAACATATGAACACTAGTTTAGGATTGCTTGTGGCCATTAGCATATGAAGCCATGAAACATGTAAGGTATTTCATATCAATTTTAAGACTTGCAGTAATTTCTGAGGAAGAATGGAGGGGAAGTGATGGTGGGGGGACAGGGACAAATATTAATTTTACCTGTACCTGTAAAGTTTCAACTCCATAAAAAAGCAAACAAGAAGCAAAATGTTACAATAAGTTAATGTACACAGGACAAGTTCATTACAGTAGAGGATTTTTTAATATGTCATACTGAAAAAATAAAAATAAATTCAATAGCTGAATAAAGCAAAATAGTATTATAAAATAATATGAATTTTGTTGTTGTTAAAGTGTTTTCATGTCGGGAAAACATATAAAAATAACCCTTAAATTTTTATATGATGACTGTTTTATAAATTAAAAAGTTAATTTGAGAATGATAAAACATTTCCCAGAAACTAAAAATAATTCAGATAAAGAGTCTGCATAAAATAACCATGAGAAGCAATTAATAAACTTTACCATATAGAGTCAGCACCCTTATAGCACAGTGAGATTGTTGACAACAATTAATAAATACCTCAAAATACCTAGTAAAGAGGATTTTTAATGTTCCCAACACAAACAAATGACAAATGTTTGAGTTAATAGATACGCCACTTACTACAGTGGTGATCATCAGAAATTGTACACATGTATTAAAATGTCACATTGTACCCAATAACTACTGCATGTCAATTAAAATAATTATATGTAGATATAGAGAGATTTTTGTTTGTTTGTTTGTTTATTTTTTCGAGGGAGTTTTAGCCTAGTTATACCTTTTCTGTTTCTGGTTCTGGCCAGCAGTGGCAGGTGGCGATGGTGCTATAGCCTTTTTCTTTCTCTTTTTCTTTTTCTTTTTCTTTTTTTCTTTTTCTCTTTCTTTTTTTTTAATGGAGATTGAATCAGTGTCTTCTCACGGAGCAACATCACAGCTTATTTTAATTTTCTAATTTGAGACAGAATCTCATGAAGTTGCCTACATTGAGTTCGAACTTGTGCTCTTTCCACCTCAGTTTCACAGAGTGTTGAAACTATAAGCATGCAAATTTTAAACCCAGGCATCATTCCAAGGGTGAAATTATCTGTAAATCACATTCTATTTTTGCCAGAGTTTTGTCTGGCTTCTATGTGTTGTCCCCATAATGTCCGCTTCTCTCCATTTACCAGGAACCTGCTCCAGTGAAGCGACTTCCACTCCCAACTCCCACTGCAAAGGCAATCACTAGAGGAAAGCAAAAGAATTACAAAGCCAGAAGAGAGGAATCAGCAATCCTGGAGCTCCGTCATCCACTCTGTTCCTTTAGTCTAGTGAAATATTTCATTATTACTGCATAGAAACCTGATCCAATATGGCGCCATGGTTTTAAAGTCAACATTAACCAGCTTGTCGCAAAAGAAAGAAAGAAAATCTAAAAATTAATGTAATCTTCTCAGCATTCCTTGAAAAAAAAAATCCTGTTCACCACCTAAAATGATGCCTCTGTGCAGCCTGAAGTGGCTCAGTGGAGAATTTTATGAATGTGAACTTTGTCTAGTGAGTGTTTGACATGGAGACACCTGTTAGACAACAAGGTCTTGTGGACTGCTGACTTAGAACATTAGCAAAGCTAACTTGCAAAAAGGCATTGTCTTCATGGACCAAAGAATAGGAAACTAGTGATTTATTTCCCTTATATTCCTGATCAGTTATGAGAAGGTTGCTTTCCAGTGGGCTGTGTGTCCACCCAGAGATCTATTCTACTTCCTGTATCCTGGTTTCTTTTGTCAGTGTCTACACCAACCTTTCAGGTATATTACTGCTTCTTTGCATCCTAAAAACACCAAGACCCAAAGCAGAACTCACGTAGCTGCCTCAAAAAGGTGTGGGGAGTTATTTTGGTTTTCACCACTCTTTTTCTCTCTCTTTTCATCTTTCAACAGTCACAAGCTCCTTGAGTCCTCACTAACAATCTTTTGTGGGCATCTCCCTAGTAACAAGGACAACAGGAGAAAAGCCAGTCTGCCACAAACTTTGAGCATGTGGTTTGGGGCAAAGGCAGGTTGTAGCAGCATCATCCTGGATGAATGGCTTCTTAGCTCAGAGATCCTATGCTTGTATTAGAATACAAGTGTGACCACTTTGCACTGCCATATGCAGTAGGTACTGCAAGTATTCCTGACCTCAAGCTCTAGTTAGAAAAGTGTTAGAGAACTTTGCAAAAGGGTTAGACCAAGATTTACTATTTGGTGCCCCTATACCAGATGAAGTAGTCACAGAATTGAGTCATGGATCTCATGGAAGCATTCTTTAAATGGATATATCATATGCAATCCCTTCACATCTAAGCAAATTGCCTTATAAGAACATGGAAAATCCTCTGAGACCATGCAGCCTAGAGAAGCATATAAGAGGGACAGGCACAGAAATACAGAACTGAGGTCATAAACACACCCACATCTGTTATACATATGCCTTGATTATTTTTCTGTACATAGGAAAATAAAGAAAATTATAAACATCTGAATGACCGTGAAAACATGCAGTATCACTCAGGAAAGCACAATAGTTCTAAAAATGCAGAGAAATTCTTTTTTGAGGGACTTGAGGACTGCCTTCAGATGCCACGGGTTATCCTGTCTATACAACAAAAGGTCTTTCCTTGCACAGTTCTAAAAGCTTGTGAAGGAGACAATGGACAGATGAGTGTCAACAAAGGTCTGGATAGCTCGACAGATACAAGAATGAAATAAAGAAGATTATACTTTCAAAAACATAGGAGATGCTAAAGCTGCTGCTGAGAGCGAAGTGGTGGCCACAGTCCCCAGGCACCAACAACGAGCCACGTGGTTAAGAGAAAATCAGTCTTTCCGTTGTTGTCTATGAAATTGGGCACACACAGCATCTTTATATCTAAATATAGTGAAGATTGTTTTTAGAGGAAGTTATGAAGAAGGCATTTGGCAAAAACTCCTACCTGGGTGCTACTCCATTATCAGTGTCCTTTGGCAACAGGGAAGGCAAGACATCATCTGCCACTGGGCATTAGAATTGTAAGCCTTCCCCACGAGCTTTCTGTCACTGTCTGTTAATGATGAAAGTCAGAATGAATGCTTGCCATCAGCGGTCATGTTGATGTAGGACACTCCAGTGCAGGTAATTATGATGATAATGTTGGAGTCACTATGACATCCTATGGACACGCCCCAGTGGTTACACAGCCACCCCCTTCTCTCACCTGTAAGTCTCACACACCTTCGATCTGTAAGAAATTTATGCTCTCAGTTTGCATTGCTTGTTTTATTTTGCTCTGCGTTTTTATTGTTAATTTTAACATACTCCTTCATTATTCATCTATGTTAAAGAATATGTTCAATAAAGAAAGAAAAGGCTCCTGTACATGCAAGCATGCCCACCAATAAGTTGTTTAAGAAATGAAATAAACTTTTTAAGACACTATGTTATGTGTAATTCTGCAGTGGATTTTCATGCAAGAGTTTGTGCTTTAGGGATTTGGAAGAAATAAATTGAGATCTTGGAATAAGCTAGAAATATATTCATTATTTTTCTCAGAAGTCAAATAAGCCAGATATGGAAAGACCAATGCCACATGGTCTCACCCACATAAGGAATCTGAAAAAGTCAAACTCACAGTACCTGAGGGTGAATTGAGAGTTTTCCAGTGACTGCTGAGGAGGGAAGATGGGCAGGGCATTGCTCAAAGAAGTCCACATTTCAGTTAGGAGGAGTAAGTTCAGACCTCTATTGTAAAACATGGTGACTACATATTGTACATGTTTAAACATGTTTTGCATGTTTTAATGCCAGTGATCGATACACTGGGAAATTCCTAAGACAGTAGATTTCTACCACAATAATAAAGTAAACAATGCAATCCATATAACTAATTTGATTTAGCCAGTCTACAATGTACACATATTTCAAAATATCATACAGCACACCATTAAAACATGCAATAAATGTACATTGTTGTCTTCATTTTACAGTTGAGAAAACTTAATCACAGAACACTTCAGTAACCTGCCCTGTCTCACCCAAAGCGAGTGGCAGAGCCAGTTATTGAATTCCACCCAGGCACCTTGATATCTATGCTATTACTGCCATAGCACAATTGCTCTCAGGAAAAACTGGTCAGAGGAGAGAAAAATTACCTGAGAAATGGATCAGTCTCTCAGGAAACATAAGGATGGTTTAATTTAAAATACACCAACAGTTACAAAATATAAGAGAGCAGCACATGCATTAGAAGGTAATGTTTGCTTTATGGCAGGCTTTTTGCAGGGCTAAGGAAATTCTAGTTATTTATTTATTCATAAGTAAATGAACCATTACTTGTAAATGCTTAGATGAAAGAAAACAGAACTGGAGCTCAACCAATCAGAAGCAGCCAACAAACTTATAATTATTCAATGCAGGACTTTCCAGCAAAATCAGCCAATTAGGCAACTTTGTAACTATGACCAATCAAATATTTTCTTTTTAGGATTTCTCCATTCACACCATAAAAACCTGTTCCTTAGACTTTTCCAATTGAGTGTCTGAACCACTTGTGGTTTGCAGCTTTCTGAATCCTTGTTTGCTCAAATAAACTCTTTAAAATTGTATTATACCTCTATATTTCAATATTCAGCACTAATAACTGAGAAATAATGAAGTCCATAAAACACAATAACAAAATATGACTTATGTGCCTTACCTATCACCCCATTAGGCAAAGACACTGAAATTTCATATATTCCACCTGACACTGAAATGACACTCACCTCTTTCCTGCAGCTATGACCCAAGTCTCCACAGAGCCCAGCAGACACCATGCCCAGGCCTCAATATGGCTAAGGACACACAAAGATCTTTTCATTTCTTGTAAAACCAGAAGGAAGAAAACCCACTAACTTTTAGGTGGATGACAAAACCTTAATGCACAATATTCATAATTTCATCATTACATCAACATAGGGTAAAATACAATTTTTCATATTTCTTCTAGCAAAAGGAGCCCATGAAGACACAGGTCTATAGAACCCACAGAAGTCATCATGCATCCCTCCCTCCTGTTCTCATGTTATTTTCTTCATGTTCCAAGCATTTTTGGTCTGTCTAGTCTGGCAGGAGGTTCTAAGCAAGAAAACAAAGAAGCCACTCCTTCTAGAGAGTGCCTATGTGCCCAGCACTGGACAGGAGTCCTCTCATCAGTATCTTGCGTGGAAGGCCAGTGACTCCCCAAGAACATGAACTCATTGGGCCAAGCTGCAATTGGATCATTGATCTGAACAGCAATGAGCCCTGAAAATAATAGTGCCCAGTAGTGGGAGTGGCTCTGTTGATGGATATCTTGACATATCTGGGTATGGATCAAAGCACACTCAAATGCCAACTCAAGAGGAGAACTCCCATTAGCCCAAGTGGCCACCGCACAGTCAAACCCTGGGACACAAGGCAGGCAGTGTAGACAAAGGGCCTTCTCTGGACCTTTGTGAGAGGTGCACACTGTCTCTGCTTCCCACATACACTTTTACTTTCTAACTGTTCTCCTCTGAGCATGCCTAGCTGTTTCCTCATTGCTTTTTCTGCCCAACATCCCTACCGTGACTTGAGACTTCACTTGTGTAATGTCACAGTCTACCAACTGAACACCAAGCCCCAGGTCTTCACACGCACATCAACTCCAAGAGAAGCCTCATCCCGACATCGACTTCCCCCACCCCACACATACCCATCAGAGCGTTCGATCAACCCTACACCGTCCAGCACAGCTAGAAACCAAGACTAATAAATCATTTTCCCCACTCTCAGCCCACAGATGGTAAGTGTGGTTCAATGCAGGTAATTATAAAAAAATGACTTTGGGAGCAAAAAATCAAAACATGGGAGGATGTGTCTAATAGAAAAGGCCTTCCGAGAGATTTGGGAGTTCTAATGACTCCACGGAGCAGGTGAAAGGTCTTGGAGCCTGACAGCAGCAGGGCAGGCTGATTGACAGAATCGATCCCTTCTTCCCTCGGACATCACCTGGCCCTGTATCTGCTCGCCTCCGGGTCCCCTGTGCCAGGCCGTGGGGAGGGAGGCGCGGGCTGAAGTATCGCCTCCTGCTTTAATGTGTTTGCGGAACACAGCCCTCACCAACCCATCAATTACCAGGGCTGTCAGCCAGGAGAAGGTGTTGGGACAGTGACAGGGTTACATAAAAGCCTCAGGGGCTAAATTGAAAGGTTCCCACTGGCTGTGTTAAACCACACTTTATATCCCCACCTCCTGTTCACAGCTATGGCCCTCCAAAGAACAGAGTTTCCTTTTCCTTTTAACTTCTCAAAGATGTTTGTGGTTTTTTCAAGAAGCAGTATGGCTGACAGGTCTTTATTATTCCAGCTGTCACTCATTAAAGAGATCAGCCCTTCCCGAAGCTCTATGCTCACATTCTCTCAGTCTCTCTCTCTCTCTCTCTCTCTCTCTCTCTCTCTCTCTCTCTCTCTCTCTCTCTCTCCCTCTTTCCCTCCCTGTTTCTCTTCCCCCCTCCAAGCTTTGATCCTCCTACTATTCCATAACAGCACCATCTCTCCTAGGCAACATCACCCATCCTCCTACCATAGGTGACAGATAAAAGATCAACCATTCCTCAGATTTCCTCATAACATTTTGTTCACTCGGGAGGAGAATTTCTGGTCATCACTTGGAACTGAAATTTTCACATCAGTTACCACAGAAGTACACATCAGTTTTCCGGTAGAAAATGACTTCATGCCCAAATAGAATTCAATCATGATTCTTCAAGCCTCTTGCAATTTAATGCTTACAACAAATGTTGTTTAGCAAAGTGGTACTACATTCTCTAAAAATGTATAATTACTTGATGACCAAATTAGGCCAGGCATAATCAATTCAAGCAATGAGCAAACTAAGTAATAAGTCAATCAGGCCTTTGATGGAAACTATCCAGACAGCATCATCCAATAACTATTCGCAGAGTGCCCACACTGTTAGGCAATGAATAAGGCATAAGGACACTGAAATAAAAAATGTTCTGGTCCCAACTAACTTAAGGCAGTTACAGTCAAAGTTTCACACCTTTGTAGACAACTTGCATAATTTTTTAACCACAGCCAAGAAGAAGAATTTGTGTAAACACATGAAAGGTATCTTAGGAAAAGGTACATTTTCACCCCAAGTGAAAGAAAAAGTCCTGCAAAATTTACCCCAAGCTGTGAACAATATCAAATGTTATACTTTGGAAATCTGCTGAAACCTACAAATTCTACACAAAGGCACAAGAAGGCAGCCAAGTGTGTTAGCTTCAGAAGGAAACTGTCAGTGCCGAGGGAACCAGCTCCCAGAACAAATCCTGGTTGTCACAACTCAACGCGTAAGAAGCCAACAAGTTGAATCAGAAGTATCAATTAACTGCACATTTTAGACTCTGATGAAAGTTTCTTCTACTCCCTAAATTTCTAATTTTCTTCCTAATATTTACAGGTCAATATGAAGAAGAAAAAAAACTACTATTCTTAGAAGGTACTGTTTCTGTTTAGATACAGAAAGTATTCCAACACAACCCTGTAGCAGTACAGTTACCACAGACTAAATCACATTTAGTTGAACTGCCAAACTGTCTTTGAGTGGGTTTGAGCCAAATCCAGGGACAGTTTGAAGAATCTGTAGTTTATGAGCTCTAAAATAATTCGCACTAGTAGAAGTCCTCATGAAACTGAGAACAGAGTGCACAGGTACACACACACACACACACACACACACACACATACACACACACACACACTTGCCACAGAGAGGTCTTTTGCTGCTGGAGCAGACTCCTTGAGTGTAATTTTCGTACGAATGTCTCTCAAGGTAAGGCATAAAAGACCTGAAAGCATTGACTATTTCCTCTCAGCCAACAGAGAGAGCCAAGATAACAGAGGACAGCAAACAAAAGGACAGAGATTTGCTGTCAGTTGTGCCAAATGAAAATTGCGGCATGGAACCAAATTGCCTTGAGTGTCTGTCATGTATGTATTATGGAAATGTCAACATAGAAAAAAAACTTACATTAAGAAAGTAACCACTCAAATGCGGTATTGTTTTTTCTTATATGTGGAATCTGAATTATAAATAAAAAGCAAAATATAAGACAGATAATAGGAGCAGGGAGATATCACTTTCTCCAAAGGGAAATGGATCAAGAGATGGAGAGAGGGGGAAGATGAAGAGGGAAAGGAGATGAAAAAGGAATCAGGGTGTGTCGTGTACATGGACCAGCTC